AGAGTTTGCAAAGTCATTTGCGTTCTCTTTTGAATAAGCAAGAGGTAAGATGCAAGGTAGAAATTCTACTCGGTTGCGCTATGGACAACAACTATGTAAAAAAAAAAAGGTGATTTTTTTTAGATATATTTGCACCATTCTAAAATAACAATTGGAGGACATAACAAAAAAAAATTTTTTTGTTATGTCCTCCAATTCGACTCGCCATTCTAAAAAATATGTTTATTTGTACCATGACTAATTTTGTTAATCACATTAGTATATAATTGTAATTATGATTTTTTACCTTTAACAGGTGGATCATCCTTTTTAACATTAATTTTCTTTTTTTTTTTTACAATAACAATTTCTTCTATGTCATCTTCAAAATTTGTTCTTTTTGACAGTTTTCTACAATAAGCTAGGCATGGAGACAGTGAAGAAGTAGAACATCGCGACAATGCCAAAAATGCTTCCAAAGTTATCTTACCATAATCATAAGTAATTTCAGGCTCAAAGTCAGAAAAAGATGGCGACAAAGGTGGAGTTGATACCGTATTCATTTGTTTGTTTTTTTCAATTTTTTTTTTCAGAATGGTGCAAAATGTATCTTTTTTGGTTGGTAGCGTTTTTTATATCACGTTTTAAAATCGTGCGTGTTGATGTAACAATGTGATCTCATCTGATGATGTAATTATATGATCTCATCCAATGATGCAATTATATGATCTCATTCAATGATGTTATTATATGATGATGTCATTAAGCGTTATATATATATGAGGGGGAACTTGTACCTTATAAGAAAAAGCTTTTTTTTCTTTACCTTACAAAAAGATAAAATATGTGTGATATGTGTGAGATGTGTCATATATAAAATATATGACACATCTCATCACTTGTACTAATTTGTTTATACAATGGAGTAATTAACAAAGTGTTTTAATTTTTGTTTAGACTCTGCTTGATATTTCAAAACGGCTTTTTAGTAATTTAGGTAATTTATTAAAAAAATGTGTTTAACAATATTAGAAGGAATTTTTCCAAAAAATTATTTTTTAATAATTTTTTTAATTTCAGATGATGTCTCAGTGTTATTACATAAAATTATGGAAGAAGCTAGAAACTTAACAAAAGCTGAAAGGTTTTTTAATTTAGTTTAATTTTATTTTTTAATTTAGACATTGGAAAAAAACAATGCAAATATATATTTTTATATTTTTTGTTTATAGAAAAAAACTTTCACTTGGATCTATTAAATAAATTCTAACTAATATTATATATTCATTTAAACATTGTATTAAATAGGTGCTCATTATTTTTGGTTGATCATGAAAATTCAGAGTTAGTTGCAAAAGTGTTTGATGGGATTGAAAAAGAGGTACATTTTTTTGATTTGAACAAAATAAATGTTAATTCATTTACATATAATATATAATCAAATTATAAAAAGAACAATCCATATGGGCAATTCCATGGCGGAAAATGAAAAAGCAGTAAAATTTTACTATCTTTTTTGTCAACTTTTAGCAAATGAATATTGATGTAGATACATGAAAATTAATTTAAAGTGTATCTTTAATACTAAAATTAATTTATTTAAATCATTTTTATGCCTCCAAAAGTTACAGTTTTTCTCATTCTCGCATGAGAAAAAAGGTATTATTGTAGAATGTTATTCTAACCATAAATTTATTTGCTTAATTGGAATTAAATTAGCATGAAAATGGAGCTAACATGTTCAAATTGTTGTTGGTCAGATTTTATACTTTATAAAATATATATATTTAAAGAAAATAACAAAAGAACTTTTGCAATTTTCATGTAACGTAAGTTAACAAAAACATGATAAAGTTTTGTTTTTTCTAAAATATAGTTAAAAAACTTTTTTAATAATATCTGCAAAAAAATATTAAATGTTACATTTTTGCATTTAAAGTTTTGAATAACGATGCTTAGTTAAAGCACTGTTTTTTTTAATTTGTGTAGCGTTAGTTAAAACTACATGCGTTTACTAAAGTTCTGGCGCTTTTTCGTTAACATTATGAATTATGTCATTAAGTAATTATTATTTCAATGACAAAATTCTAACTGAAACTTTATATATTAGGAGAGTTTTGAAAATTTCTTATATTTTTTTTAATGTTAATTAAAATTATTTATATTATTGCTTTTTTATTTGTTTATGTTTCTTATTTTATTTGACATAAATACACATAAATAAATAAAAATAAGAATTATATAAATGTTTGTATTTAGGCATTAAAAAAAAAAGATTTATTTGCTATTCTCCTAATATGAAAAAAATCAGTTAGAATCATTTTTGTTTTAGTAAAACAAACGTTTTTAAATGCAATTAAGGGGCTCATTTATAAAGCATGTCACGCTATATTTATCAATTCTTAACCTCTTCCCTCCTGTCACAAACGATCACATATACCTGAACCCCTCTCCCTCCTAAACTGTGATAGCAGTTTTTTTGTAAAAAATATTTTAAAGGTTTAAATATAGATATTTTGCAGCATTTTAAAAATTGAACCTAATGAAAATAAGGCAATATGTATAAATGTAAGGAGTGTAAGTTAAAACTTCGACAAATCAAAGATTTTCTTATTTAAACGACTCAAATGAGTATTAATAAAGTTGTAATTTTTTAAAGTTGCTCTTGGTCTTGCATAAAAACTATTTTCGATTTTATCAATAACTTGAATAAATGTTATGAAAAATCACTCAGGAAGAGGCCACTATTTTTTAAAAATTTATTTTGTTAATTTTAATGAATGAGTTCAATACTTTTGCAACTGTTTTGATACGTGACTCTAACTCTTAGTAATTGATATGAAAAATCCACTATAAATATTGCTTGGTAACGTAAGTGATGTAATGTAAGCTAAATATAAAGTATCAAAAAAACAAGTTTATTTTCCTTAGCCGGTCTCTGAAAAAATTTTATATATTTTTTAAAATAGCATAGATTTCCTAACATCTTGTGAAAGTTTCTAATACAAACCGCTTTACTGATTCACAGAAATCTGACCTAAAAGTTGAAGCAATTTTTTTACTTAGTTTTGCGTGTAATGTAAGTTAAGTGGCATTTTCAGTAATAAGTTCTCCCTCTTTTGGTTAGACTCAAAACTTTTTAGCTTATTTTATCCTTTAGACTAACAGCTTTTATTCAAAATAGCTAAAAGTTTAATTTACAGTTTAAATAGGCGATTATTTGATAAAGTTGTTATAATGTAAAGTAAGTTAAAAATGGAATTACCTATATTTATAATCAATACTGCATTTTTTTTGTGTTGCTTTCATTTTCTAATGTTTGTTTTTGTGTTTTAAACTATCAGAAGGCTGAGGTTAGGATACCAATAAATCAAGGAATAGCCGGCCATGTGGCATGTACAGGTACTTTTACTTATACCTTTTAAAAATAAAATATGGTATGTTTTATGTATTTCATTCACTATTTTTTTTTATCTTTAATTAAGGTGAAACAATCAATATAAAAGATGCATACTCTCATCCATTATTTTATCGTGATGTTGATGCAATGACTGGATTTAAAACAAAGTATTTTTATGTTTTATTAACTACACAACATAAAATGAACTCAGCATACTAAATCAAAAGTAGTCATTTAATTAATCAAAGTTTCTTTTTTAACCTCCAAAAGGAGTAACAGTTGGTTAAGTTGATTGGTTAAAAATACGATGATAAAAGTTAGACTTTTTTTTTAATTACAAATTACATTACATTTATATTTAAATACTATTTTGTTTAGTAAAACTGGTTTATAAATTTAATTAAACATAGTATAAAAAAAGCATAAATATATATAAATAAATAAGCTATAAGTTATGAGATAAAAATATTTTCATAACTTTCACATTTTATCACAGAAAAAAAATTCTTTTGCATACTGAAGAGCTTTTTCATTGAAAATAAATATTTGTCATGTTTAAAGTAGATTAGTCATATAAAAGTCTTATAATAATTTATTTTATAATACTTTGAGATTTTTCTTGGGCATATATTTTGCTTTTTTTTAGGCACATACTTTGCTTTCCAATTCGATCTGACCAAGGTGAGTTTTTTTTACATTATTTTAAGTTAAATATCTTTTTTTTTTAATTGGTAATTTTTATATACTTGCAATATGATTAGGCAATAATATATTTCTTAATGAAGTAAAAATTTATACATTATTAGATATACGCTGGTTCTAAAGGTGTATGGAATGGGGGAGGGGGAGGGGATATTGTGAAGTTTTGCTGACTAACGGTGCAAGTTTATTATAAATATTTGCACATAGTTTGGCGAATTTTTTTTTTAGATGTATATTGTAAAAAATGGTACTTAGACTATTTATCTCTAGTTGGCAAATTAGAGAATTTAAAGATCTTTTTTTTTCATACTTTTATGTCTGAAAAACTTGTAAGACAACTCCCACTTGACACCTACTTGTGCCGGCCTTGGACTAGTATTGTGTTAACACCCAATGCGTTACTATTTAGTTTTCCTTTTTACCTTTAATTTAATTTTCACAAAATTTGTTAAAATTAAAAGTTTTGCTTTTCTGGCGTGATTTTTTTTTTCCAGTAAAAAAAAACTAGTTTTATAAACTTGTGTAATGTAAAATAGAAATTGACTTTTCAATTTTATTTTTTATATTATATTACAATAGTTCATTCCTTTGTTAATACTTCTGCAAAAAAAAATTTTATATAGTTAATTTTGCTTTAATTTTTGTTAAATTTATAATATTCATCATATGTGACAGTTTACTCATTATATGCGACAGTTGGATAAGTTTTATAATTTTGAGCCTAAGTGAGTGATTGTGTATAAGAAGCATTATTTAGTCAGAAGAATTTTTTTTTGAAGGTGAGGTGTCTTGCCCAAGAAATTACAAAGATTTTTGTTTGATGAGATGAAGTTGATCTTCCCAAAAGCTAAGGAGATTAATTTACATAAGTCATAAATGTTTGTTTTAAAATACATTTAGATAAAGTTATTGGTGTCGCTCAGCTTTGCAACAAAATTAATGGAAATTCTTTCACAAAATTCGATGAAGAACGAACAACTGCTTTTGCCATTTTTGTTGGTCTCAGTTTAGTTCAGGTTACTTAGAATTATTTTATTATTATTTTAAATATTATTAATAAAATATTTTATTAATATATATTTTTGTAGGTCTTATTTAGTTCAGGTTGGAATTGTTTAAGAAGAACATTAAGTTCTTTTATTTTTGCATTACAAGAGATGCATATTTATTTTTAGAGTTTACTTTATAAAAAAGCAACAGATGCACAACAACGAAGCAAATTAGCAAATGAGCTAATGTTGTACCACATGAGAGTATGTTTAAATTAAGTATTGAATTGTATGAGAATAAGGTAAAGTTTTTACTTTTTTTTAAGTCGTCTTTTTAGGTTCCCAATGAAGAAGTAGAAAAGTATGTGGCACATTCGTTTCCTGCAAAATGTGATATCCATCCAAGAATGGATGAATTTACATTTATGCCAAGAATTGAACTTTCTCAACATGATAGTATTCAGGTTTTATTTAATTTTGTTTAATGACTTTATTTTAGTGTATACAGTCTTCACCTCTTCCTCTCTCTTTTTTTTTTATTTTCCAATCCTTTAAACTGTCACGCTCGTTTCATGTTTACATTTATAACACTTAAATGTCATTGGGATGATACAAGTAAAACTATAGGGTTGAAGACATACTTAAAGTTGCTTATATATGCATATATTCATATATATGCATATATAGCAAATTTAATATAGCGTGTTTACTTAATTTATTTGATAGGTTGTATTAGCGATGTTTGTGGATTTAGATTTGATAAGGAAGCTCAAAATTCGTGATTCTACACTTGTCAGGTAAATATCAAAAAAAAATTATTCATATACTTTTAATGAGTTGTTTCTAAATGTTTTAAACAATTGTTTTTTTTTGTTTTTTTTGTTTTTTTACTACTTTGAATGGCCTAACAAATGTTACTAATTAGTAGTTGTTAGACTTTAAATTTTCATTTGAAAACAAATTAACAGTTTCATTGTACTTTAGTATTTTACTCTTTGCAATTTTTATTTTAAAATGCACCAACAATCTTTTTTGAAATATTAAACAATCCAGCAATTGTTTTCAAAAGTGCTGAGTAATAAATTATTTATTATAAGTAATGGGGTTGCAACAATCATTTTAAACTCTTTTAAATTTTTTTTTTAACTTTTAATAACAAACAACTGTATTATTTACATTTCTGTTAAAATATCATGATTGATAAACTACAATTTAAAGTTAAACAAGTTTAAAGTTATTTTATATGCTAAGAATTATTTTTTTTGTTAAGCTTTACAAGCTAAGAATTGATTATTTTGTTGAGCGTTTAGTAAAAATGATACATATAATAGTTTCTTGTAGATTAAGGTTTTTGTTTACTTTATATTTTAGTCTTAAATAAAGTTTTAGTTTTAAAATGTTTTTTGTTTATAGTACTTAAAACTATGATACCTCATTTTTCTGCAAAGGGTTTAACCAAATTAAATTGCTATTAAATTGAAGTGTTATAATCTGGAATAAGGTTATTTTTTAATAATAAGGTTATTTAATTAAGATGTGTCAAGTTTTTACACAAAAGCAAGTTTAGCAGTTTGCAGAATACCAAGTCAATGTTCAATGGCCACCGAACATGTCCAGCAATTATGATTTGGGGTGCAATCACTACCAACAAAGGGTGGTTAACATCTTTTACAACAATGTGTCTTGTTGGTTTAGAATATCTAAGTTTGATAGTTTCATGCATGAAGGAGCATCTTGTCATCTGATAAAAGTATCAAACCTTTTACATAAAATTAAACACAGAAGTTTCTAAACAAAGCCCAATCTCATTAGCAGGATTAAGATTAACTATAATAAAAGCATGGTATCATAAAATAACGCCTGAATATTGTGAGTCTCTTGTGTCCTCAATGCTGTAAAGAGTAAAGGCTGTTCTTTGAAAAAGTTTGAGGAGCCTAACAAAATTTGTTATTTTTTGTATTATGCATCATACACTATTCAATACAAAGTTTTTTAAGATAAATATTGGTTTATTGGTATTTTGATTGGTCAGATCTTTTTTGCAACTATACATTAAACCTAATAATAGAAAACACAATATACTACAATACCTAATTTTACTGCAAAACCTAGTTTTTATATTTTAATGAAGAAATAATTGATAAAAGATGTAAAGCATAAATTATCAAGAACAGTTTAAAAATAGAAAATTTTAATCAAAATATATTTTTGTTAATATAATATTGATTTTCAGTCAAAGTTGATGCTTGCCTTACATGTAGTTTATTGTAGAAAATATTTTTTTTGCAAATGTTGGTTGAGTCAAACTTTCAGATAAATCCTGTTACTTTGAATGCCTGATTTCCAATTGCACTATTTATTGTGTATAATTGCTGATATCTTCATGATATATAGTAAATGCATTAAGCAAAATATTTTTGTTTTCAACTTTAAAATCTGTAAAAGTTTCAAAATGGCTGCTTAATGCTCTTGAAATACATTACTAATAATCTTACTTTCAATAGAATAACTTTCAAATGCTGGAAATAGATGAATATTTTTCTGTGATAAGTTGTTTTTTTAATAATTAAGCTTGGCCTTAAAAGCTTAAGTTTTATTAAATAATATTGCCAACTTAAAAATCTTGTAAGTTTATATTAGATATTAAGATAGTTTGACAATCAAACTAATACTGAATTTAAAAAATAAAAATGTGATTATTATTGGCAATTGAGCACATAAAATGTACTCAAAAAACATAATATGTACATAAATACAAAAATACAACTTTTTGCATTTAAAATGTAACTCAACTGTTTTTTGCAATCAAATTTAGTTTTTTTTTATTGATATTCTCTAAAGTTTTTAAAATGTTCAACCGGCATTTAAAAAGTCTTTGCAAACACTTTTTCTAAGAGGCGTTGGTTCGGCTGCTGCTGGTATATTTGATAGGAAAATGATCAAAATGTAATATAGACTTACATTACCTAGCTAAAGTTATAAATCATTTAGTTATGATTAATTTTTTTAATGAAATTCATTAAAAATGATGTTCAATAATGATTTTAATAGTTTTTTTTTTTTCAGAAAAGAGATTATATGTATATATATATATATATATATATATATATATATAATATATATATATATATATATATATATATATATATATATATATATATATCAAAGTAAAAAGTAGTTAAAAAAATTTCTACCCTACTAGTTACTTAGTTACTAGATGCTTTAGGTGCATATTTAAAAACTTTCATTTAATATTTATGCTGACACTTTGTTTAAAAAGAATATCAGTAGAATAAAAGTAGATAAAACTTTTTTTAGTTTTTCATTTTCTTTTTAGTTGATATTTTTCATCCTAATGTTTTTCTAGTTTTTGGATTTTTATCAGCATATAAGTATTTAATAATAAAATCAAATTACTATAAATTAAACAATATTGTTATAAATTATTATTTTGTATTTAAATGTTGTTTAGGTTTATTTTAACTGTTCGTCGAGCATATCGTGATGTAGCTTATCACAATTGGACACATTCTTGGACTGTTGCGCATTTTTCTTATCTTCTACTTAAGTCAACAAAAGCAAGAGATTACTTAAGGTTATAATTGTTTATGATAATTTAATGTTATTTAAAATATATTTTATATATATATGTATATATTTATATATATATATACATATATATATATATATATATATATATATATATATATATATATATATATATATATATATATATATATATATATACATATATATGTATATATATGTATATATATATATATATATATATATATATATATATATATACATATATATACATATATATATATGTATATATATATATATATATATATATATATATATATATATTCACGGTCATTTTACAATTTTGCATCATTTTATCATAACAAGTTATTTTTGAGTTAGCTATTGAAATGTATTGTTTGCATGTATATATATATATATATATATATATATATATATATATATATATGTTTTGAATGTCGACACTGAGATATGATTGCGTTTTTTTTATTCAGTAGGTTTTTTCCATTATGTGATAAAATTACATATTTTTTGTAGAGACAAAGGTGGCATATTTTTGTTGCTAGATTGTAAGGTTTACAACGTTTGACAGTTTTCCAATCTATAATGGGCTTTATGTTTTGGTCTTTTAAGCTCCATATTTCCTTATATAGTTCTGTGTCATTTCTATACTTAACTGATGCAAATGATTTGAGGTGGCTTGCGTATCTTATTTTAAATGGTGTATTACTAATGCCAAAATATACTTTTTTATTACAATCATGATGACTGGAACTTACAGTTGCTTGATAGACAATGTTGTTAGATAAACATTGATTGTTCAAAGGGCAAAATGCTTTATCTACGCAGTTACATTGGTTGGTTTTTAATTGATTTTTGTTGTGTGAAATTTTGAAATTATGCGAATTTATGATAGATTTTAGGTTAGGCATGCAACTGTAGCTAATCTTAATAGAATTTTGGTTGAATATTTTATGTATCTTGTGGCCGGCTGGAAAATGTAAGTCAATAAGGGCTAGAAAATGGTTTCCTATTTTTGTTTTGACGTTTAAGCTGAAGGGAGGGTTATACCAAATAATATTACGTTTACGTTGCTTTTTTTGTTGATTTTGACTTGAGATTTTTTGTGGTTGATAGGTAAGGTTTGATTTGTATCCCGATTTTTTTAAAGCCTCTTCATATGGTGGAATAGCCTTTTTGAAGAATATTTCATTAATTGACATGGAAGATAATCTTTGTTCAATATTGCAAGGGATTGCTTTTATTATGCTTGGAGGGTGGTTAGAATTAGAGTGGATGTACCTTATTTGATTATCAGGTTTAAAATATGGTTGAAACGTATCGTTACTTAGATTTAACGTAACATCTGAACAAAAGAACAGATTTAAATAGTATCAATATTTTTACTAAAACTGGTAACAACAGAACTTTAACTGGTAACAAACAAAACTGGTAAGAACAGAACAAGTCCATTAATCTGATTGTTTCCAATAACAGTTCTGATTCTGTTTTTGATATTATAGTTGCTTTAGGTTTAGTTAATAATCTTGTTTCCATGGTTTTTAATTTTTCCTGTACAAAAGAAGTTTCCTGAGTCTTCCTAAATTTGGCTTTCATACTAACCTGCTTAAAACCATAATTTTACAGCCCTCCATTTGCTCCTAGATAAAAAGTAAATATCCTTGTCAGATGGCATTATGTGTTGATTATTTTAAAATTTTTGTGAAAAATTGTCAAATTATCATCAGTCCAAAACAAACTTGTAAAAACATTTTTTTAAATCAAATATTTGTGGTAAGCTTAAAAAAATTCATTTATTAAAGTTTACTTTTTGATTTACAAGAGTTTTAAACAAATACTTATATCTTTAAATTATATACAGTTACACAAAGTTTTGCTAATATTTAATCTAGACTAATGTGTTACAGTTTTCTCAGTTTGAATTTGCCGGATGGGAGGTTTTCTCTGGGAAAGCTAGTTTATCTTCTCTAACGTAGCCCTAACAAAAAAATTTTCCCTATGAGTAGACCTAATAGGAACATTAGGTTATCTTTTGCTCTTCTTAAATTCTTGATTAGTAACATTCTTATTTACCCTTGTTATCATTTTATGTCATAGTTTATCTGGAAAAGAAAAAAAGTATAGTCTCTGATTTTAAATTTGTACCATTTTCAACAAACATTTTTTTAAACTTTAAATTGAGAAATTAAATGGGTTTTTTAATGAAAAAATTATCTATTTACTTTTCTTGGAAACATTAGGTGGCGATTATGTGGTTTATATATATATATATATATATATATATATATATATATATATATATATATATATATATATATATATACATATATATATATATATATATATATATATATATATATATATATATATATATATATATATATATATATATATATATATATATATATATATATATATATATATATATATATATGTAGTTTATTAGCTATGGATTATGTGGTTTATGATTTTAATAGATACTAATAATATTTGTAAAATTGTAAAAAAATTTTTTAATAATAACTTTTATTGGATATTTGTGAATTGTTACTCAATGTCAAATTATGTAAATATTTTTAAAAATCAGAGTTTAGAAGAATTAAGATAAAAAACATGTTAAAAAGTTAAAAAAAATTAAAATAAAAAACATGTTGTTTTTACTCTGAGAAAACCTAAAATACAAATCTAAAAAAAAAAAAAAAACTATCTACAACAGAAAATATTCAAACTCTTAAAGAGATATACCACCCATAGTGTTTGCTTTTGCTCCTATTTCTACCCCGCGTGTGTACAACTTCTGTTAATGATTTATTGTTTAGAAGAATTTAATACATATTAAAAACCAAAAAAAAACCTGCACAAACAAGGGGTGAGAATGAATATTTCAATTATGCTAAGTGTTGTTTAAGACAGCTTACTTGTGGATTTTCAAAAGTTCCTAACTTCCAATTAAGTAATAAAAGGCTAATTTATCAAAAATAAAGTATATTTTCAACAATACTTCAAATTTAAGAAATAAAAATTACTTGTTAAGTTTTTTTTACTCAGTTAAGAATTCATTTTATTTATTATATATATGCATATTATATTATCTATTACACATATGCTTATTATATTATCTAGTATTTTTTAGTATGTTTACATATTATGCACAGTTATTTTCAAATTAAAAAGTTCAAAAAAAGTATTTTAATTAAATAATTAATTTAATTAAACATTTTTAATTTAAACACCACGATAGACTTAATTTATCTTAAACTCATGTCATTTTGATTTCTTGTTCACACTAAATAATAAACACAAGTAGAAATATGATCTTATTATTGAGATATCCAAATCATGTTTCTGTGTGCTTAAATCATCCACTAAATACAATTTTGTTTTTAAATTAAAAATACTTTGAAAATGCTGCCTTTTGCAATAAGTGCATATAAACTACTTAACAGTAATCAACTAGACAATTTCAAGGTATCAAATGAAAATGTTCAAGATAACAAAAGTTTGAGTTGATCGGTATTCGACTCACCCGGAATCAACCATATCAATTTTTTCATTTATTTAGAACTTTATTACATGTCTTTAAATAATGGTTTACTATAATAACTGTCTAGAATGCATCAAATGGCTCAGAAAAAGAAATTTTTATTTTTGACTTATAAACTTCATCTTCCAAAGTTTCAATATGTGTCAACATTGAAGTTTCTGGTTTAGCTCTATTAGTAAAAAAGAATGTTAGTAATTCAGCTGGATTTGAAAGTATCTTCAATTATTTTCTACATGTTTATTTAATAAATTAAAACTTGAAAAATCTATTAGTAAAGGCTGATTCTGTAGTTGGCAGTTGCGTGAGGCAAGTATTTGTTGTGTACTTTATCTAAGGCTCTAAATGATTTTTTTTTTCCTTAAATTCCCATACTTTTCATTGGGGAATTTAAAAAATCAAAATGACTTGATTAAATTTTCAGAAGTCATTACATATAAAACATAACTAACAGTAGCTTAATACTTTTTATTTATTTTTGTTGTGTTTTGATCTGAATAGAATAGTAATTAGATCTGAATAGTACTAGATGGTTATCAGACATAAAATAGTGCTAAAATAAAACTAGATGTTTAAAATAGATGTTCTAAAGTAGTGCTAGATGGTTATCAGACAGTAAAATAGTGCTAAAATAAAACTAGATGTTTAAAATAGATGTTCTAAAGTAGTGCTAGATGGTTATCAGACAGTAAAATAGTGCTAAAAAAACTGTTACAAAATGAATCAAAATAAAATAACGGTAAAAAAGCAATTATTTAAAGGGATCTCAAACCTCCGAGGCATGTTGTGTTCAAATCAAAGAGATTGTTAAAAAAAACGTTTAGGCTAAATATTTGTGATTAAAATAAAATAATAAATGCATGCCAAGAAATTTAGTATTTTAGTCATATTTAAGCTTGCCTTTTCTGTTTTGTTGTAGATCAAATAGTCTTCATAATACACTCCGCAATCTACAGACTTAATAATTTATGCAAGCGTGTTTTATTTCTATTAGTTTTAGTACATGGCATCATTGATTTTTTATAAAATATCAATATCTTTTAAATTTTGATTTAATTTTGATTCACTCCCAACAAGCAACCACTATTAAGTTGGGAGTTACTAGAAAAAAATAATAGAGTTATAGAGCAAGAAAACAGTTGACAGAAGTCTTGAAAAGTTGTAGGTTGCAAATAAGGAAAACATGAAGATGAGGGAAAGATCCAGAGAAAAAACTAGACAAATAAAAGTTTTTAGAGCATACAAGGACAGATACAGTAAAAGAATAAGACTTTGATGAATGACGTGTCAAGCAAGAATAAGTTTTAGTTGATGGAAATAGGGGTGATAGCTCCCTTGAGCAGCAACCATTACAGTATTTGTAGAAAAAAGAAAGAGGTTCAACTTTCCAACAATTTGAAAGAGGCTCAGGCTTAGCTGATTGTGCAGAAATGCAATTTTATTGCCAAGTCATTGTGTTGCTAAATTTTTTTTGTTAAGAAAAATGTTATATTTTAAGTGTATGTGTTATGAGTGAATGAGTAACTTTTTTTACTGAAACATTTTTCATGTTTTTATAAGTATAGTAGTGTATATTTAATGTTTATACTTTAGCATTGAATAAAAAAAAGTTGCCTTAACTCGAACTAATATCTCATATCAACCAATCAAAGTTCGACTTAACAGAAGTTTGCTTTAGTCAAACATTCGTTAAGTCGAACCATTTTCTTTGGTTCCATGGAAGTTTGTACATATATATATATATATATATATATATATATATATATATATATATATATATATATATATATATATATATATATATATATATATATATATATATATATAAATATATATATAAATATATATATATATATGTATATATATATATGTATATATATATGTATATATATATATATGTATATATATATATATGTATATATATATGTATATATATATATATATATATATATATATATATATATATATATATATATATATATATATATATATATATATATATATATATATATATATATATATATATATATATTGATTAAGTAAAACATCTGAAACATCAAGAGTTCAATGTATTGAAAAAGTAGTCAAAATTATAGTGAATGACTTTTGCTTTCAACACCTAACTGTTTTATCTGCTAAAATTTAATATCAACTAAGCTACAACTTTTGGAAAAAAAAGGTACATAGTTTGAAGCAAAGTCAGTTGTATAACCTGGCTTTGCTTCAAACTATGTATCTTTTTTATTTTCATATTTAAATTTCAGTAGAATTATATTTCATTTTCTTATTTTGGGCTGTATAGCAAAAAAATTTGAAATGTTTCTAAAACATTTTATAGTTAGACATTACGATGCCTGTGGCATTTCTTTAACAAATGTACCTTTGTTAATGTTATGCTCAACTTTAGTATCATCATTTCAAAAATTGTGCCTAAAATTTAAACCACAATTTTAGTATCAAAGCTAGTATATTAGCTGTTAAATAGGTGTTTACTATATTGGTATTTAAACCAATCAAAAATTTTGCTTTTAGCACAAGTCTATTGTCTTATTCTTGCAAATAGAGTTTTAGTATTATCAGTGACATTTTGTGTGTTTGCATTAGTCAGCATTAAAAGGTGTTTGTATTTTAATGTATTAAAAGATATTTAGTATTTTATTATTTATTGTATAATATACCTAACTTCATAGTAATTGAAATATATATAAAACTTTTTTATATTAGTGATTTAGAAGCTTTTGCGCTGTTGGCTGCATCTCTGTGTCATGATATTGATCATAGAGGGACAAATAATTCATTTCAAGTATCTTCAGTATGTTACTTTTTTAAAGTGTTTTATTTTTAATCATTTAAAATGTGACCTTGTATTGGTAATTTTTACTTTTTATTTTAATGCATCATTAAATTATATTTAGAGGACCTGAATAAGTTGAATTAAAAAACAGGACCTGATACTAGAGTACTTGGGGTGTGGGGTGTAATCCTTTACTGAAGTTTTTGATTTTGCACATTTTTCAATAGCTTTAAAAATATTCTGTTTTATAATATTACTTAACTAGGGCAGCATTACCTACATAATGTTGAATTGAAGCTAAACTGAATTGAAAAACAGGACCTGAATAAGTTGAATTAAAAAACAGGACCTGATACTGTTATGTTATAACAATTTCTGTTTAATTAAATTATATAAAAACTGGAGATAAAATTTCATATAAAGACTGGAGATAAAATTTCAAAAGTTTTTCTTAAATTAGGTTGTTAAATTTGTTAAAAATTATGTTAAATTTGGCCTTTTACTTTCATTTTATTTCTCATAAAACAATAAATACTAATATAAATGAATATAAATATAAAGCTTCACAAATTTAACACAGAAGTTCACAAAAAAAACAACTCTTTTTCTGCATAATATCATTATAATTCTTATAAATTAATAGTCCAACAAAAATATTACTTTTTTTCACCTTTTTTTTTTTTTTTTTGCTACAATTTTCTTTGATTAAGTCAAATCATATATGCTTCTAAATGTACCCTTTTTTTTTTTATGATGTAGGGGTAGTTGTTTTTGTCTCCAAACGTAACCTTGTTTATTTTTTTTTTTTTTTTATAATCTAGGGGTAGTCGTAAACACCTCTACATGTAACCTTTTTTCTTTTGTCATAGGTTTTTTTTATGATGTAGGGGTAGCGTTTTAAGAATAACACTTTTTCAGCATTCTAAATATTTTTTTATTAACACCTTAAATAAAAAAAGTCAGATTTTTTTTGAAACTTTATAAATATAAACCAAAAAGATTATATAAATGGCGTTCCATACTTTTTTTTTTTCTTTTTTTATTTCTCTCTTATTTGTCATTTTAAAAATGACAAAAAGTAAATATAAGTGAATTTTAAATATATGTAATGTTTGTTTATCGTCATTTTTTACTAATTTCTTCATCTGAGACTGCTGATAAAACAAGTATTATTGGCTCAAACTAGGACTTTTATGCTTTAAATTATCTGAACAACCTTTGGTATTATTAATGTACAATGGAATTTTACTTCAAGTAACAGTTAATAAACTGTTACTTGAAGTAAATTAAGGTTCATTATCCAATATGGTCAATCTTCTAATGTATGCTTCAGAACAAAATTACTAGTCTGCATACTCAAGGTATCAGACTGTTAACTTTAAAGTATTTTCATAAAGAAAATATTTTAAGCATTATGATTCTTTCATATTTATTTTTTTATTTTAAATTTATGGTAGGCTAATCTTATTTTTTATATATGTTTTTCCTTATTTTATAGCATTCTGTACTTGCATCATTATATAGCTCCGCAGGTTCTGTTTTAGAAGTAAGTTTAACTATTGCATTTTATGTTGATTAATTTGATATGCAGGATTATTTATATCTGTGATTCGTATTTATTTTTTGATAAATTTATTAGTCATTAAGACGTTTAAAACCTTTATATATGTATATCAGAGACATCATTTTGCGCAAGCCATGTGTATTATTCAAACAGAAAGCTGTAACATCTTTGAAACATTTTCCCAAGAGGTTGATTTATTTATCATTCTTCATTTTTCTTTCAAATTTTTTGCTGAAAAATGTTTAAAACAGTTTTTAACATATTTTTATGTTTTTGACATTTAATACTTGTTCTTAGGATTATAGCAGAGCATTAGATTTAATGCAATTGATGATTCTAGCCACTGATTTAGCAAATCATTTTAAAATATCTTCGCAGATTGATAAATTGATAAGTAGTACGCTTTAATATTAATTATTTTCATTATTTATTATTTGCATATATAGTAATTATTTATTATGTATATAATAATCATTACTTTTATCATTATCAGTAGTAGTTATAGTATTGTTTTTAATTTTTTTTTTCCCTTATGTTTAAAACAGATGTTTAAAATAGTTTAAAACCATTGTTTTAATTTTTTTTTTTAATTTGAGGTTATTTTTAACGTTTAGCTGGTTTAAATAAAAATGACAAAAACCACATTGATCTAATGTTATCACTATTCATGACAACTGCAGACTTATCAGATCAGACTAAGCCTTGGGAGAGCACATTTTCTGTGTCTGATCTTTTATACGCTGAATTTTTTGCTCAAGGAGATCAGGTATTTTGTTCGTACGATTAAAAATTTCTTGTTTATTCCGCATATCTCATGAAACAATGAAACAAAAGTTTAATATTGTTTTTAACTTTGTTAGGAAAAGTCTCTTGGTTACACCCCCATCCAAATGATGGATCGAGAAAAAGCTAGTATTCCCGAATTACAATTTGTTTTTTTAAGTAAAATTGCAATGCCTATTTACCAGTAAGATTTAATTCGTTTTTAAACATTGTATAGGATATATATAGATTTATTGTATAATATTTAGAGAAAGTCATTTAAAGGTTTTTTTTTGTTTTTTTTTTCTTTTCTATTTTTGAAATTATCTTATACGTTTATTTTTTTGTATTTATTTTTCCAGAAAGTTAAGTTCGCTGTTTCCAGAAACCACTAGCATACTTTCGTGTATTAATGATAATATGAATCGATGGAAAGAAATGGAAAGTTTAGAAAACTCGTAGTGTTATCCTTGCATTCAAATATACTTCTATAAAATCTTTCGTTGTTTGGATAAAATTATTTTTATGAAAGCAAAATAACGTTATGTGTGTTACAGAAGTTACTTTTTTTAAAGAACTTCAAGGATATGGCATCTTTGAAATTATTTATTCCCATTACCACCCGGTCGCAATCTTTTTAAAGACTCGTTTTTCAGTAACTATTTAAATTTCATATTTATGCGTTATCAATTCGGTATGGTTTTTTTTTTTGAAAGTATTTTATAGTATTTTTCATTCGAATCGAATGTAAGCATAGAAGCTTAGTTCAAAGTTTTAAGCCATTTGTATAGTTCATGCCGTTTAAATTATTCTAATGGAGATGCGTTATCATTGTACATAAATGTAAATGTTATTTTTTAATTATTTTTAATTAGTTTGTTGTTATATTCTATAAATTCTAAGCTGCTTTTCATATATAAGTACATGGTGGGCGCTACTTCGCTCCTTTTAATTTTTTTTTTTTTTTTAAGTATTTTTTTATATAAAACAGTATCATTAAATGTGACATTTTCTTAGAAATATCGTTAAAGAAATATAATAACATAGCCTTAAAAATAAGTCGATAGTCTGACAATGATATATACATATATATATATATATATATATATATATATATATATATATATATATATATATATATATATATATATATATATATATATATATATATATATATATATATATATATATATATATATATAATGTATATATATATATAAAATTCACAATTTTTTTTATTGGTTATATATAATTAAATATTAACATTTTTAAAAAAAATAGTCTTATTTTAGTACCAAACCTGGTTGAAAAGTTCTAAAAGTCCTAAAGGAACTTGGAACAAAAAAAAAAGACAAAACTTTGGTAAATATGAATATTTATTAACTTATGTTTTTTTTAATTTAAATGGTGTTAAATCTGAAATTTTTTTTGTTCCAAATTCTAATAAGATCCTATAGGACTCTTTGACAAGGGAAAACCGAGATTCCAGGAAAGCCAGACAATTTTTGGTGCCATAAATCTTTGCGCTCGGTCCACCTGAATCTCATTTCAGTAATTAATTAGATTAAATAGTCGAAAGTTAAAATTATTCTTTGACATAATATTTCAAAGTGTATTTGAAAAATAGGGTATTTTACTTTAATGAGATCTAGAAGCTCTGAAAGCTTATTTTGTTTGAATAGATTTGTTTTGACTCAAATGTTTAAAACAAGTCAGAAAGTTATTATTAAGTACATTTATAGTTTTTTTCCAAAGGTAATATAGCAATAAGTATCGCGTCAATTTGACAATCCTCTAATTTTAAAATTGTATTGTTTTCAAGAACAGTTAAAGCTGCTTTTATTGAAAATGCTCCCAAGTTTTTAGGATTGAAGGGCCGACAGACATTAAATATGATTTTTTTTACATTAACTAAATGCATAAGCAAAGTTTGTTGCAACAAACTTATGTACTTAGTATATATAACTAATTTACTGTACGACAACATACAATTTACTTGGAGCTACTGGATGAGGACGCATTTATCTTTGGTTATCTAAACTGTTTCAAAGGTACTTTGCTTAAAATCACAAATGTTTTATTTATGATTAATTAAAACAAAGCAGATTAAAAGATCAGGTGGTCTTATAACAAAATACAATCTAACGGATTACGGTAAGTTCACGTTCATAAACTTTTTCAAACTTTTTATTTATAGGTAAAAAGTTTAAAAGATCATATAAACAATCCATTTGGTTCAAATGAACTGTTTGTATGATTCCAATCTATTAGGGATAGTTCCTTAATAAAGATAGTTCCTTAAACGGTGCCTGATTTTTTTTTTTTTTTTAATTTAATTTTGCCGTAGAAAGTTACAATTTATAAAATAACATAAATAATAAAACAAATGGCTGGAGCAAGAAGAAGACATCAGTTTGTCTTATTCTTGAGCCCCATAGTGACTTCATTACAGGTCGTTTTTTACAACAAAATATATAAAATTGTGACAAATTGTTTGTGATAAAATATGTAAAAATGTGAAAAACTACGTTTTACAATTGATATAACTGTTTATATATAAATTCGTTTAGTAAAAGAAATAAATTGTGCTATTTTTTTACTAAAAAAGAAAAAGAAAATTTAAGTCCGTAGAGATAAAAAACGCTTTGATTCAGATTTGTTCAAGTTTTCTTTTGATAGTAACAATCTGAGGAAAAATTTTCCACAAATAAGGTCCGCGGTGTTGGATTGAGTATGAATTTAACTTTAATGTAAATTTTGGGATGACAAAGTTGTTATATGAGAATCTAGTAGGGTATTTATGACTTATTTCGCTAAATTAGGGTTAAAAGTTTTGCCGCATGCTTTCTTCATGAACAGACGTGTTTTGGCAGCGTAAAAATTTAAAGAAAAAACTGTATAATTTTAAATTATTAAAGAATTAACAAAACAAAATAAGCAAAGTTTTGAAAAAAAGCGTGTTTAAATTATTATACAAATATGGAAATTTCAATTAAAAACATAGAAAAGTTAATTACCAACAAATTAGAAGAACAAAAAAAATCTATTCTGAAAGAAACAGAGAAGTTATTAAAGGAACAAGAAAAGAGTTTTGCTTCGATTATGAGTGCTAACTTAAAAATATTATCGGAGAGAATTGAAAAACTAGAAGTTTATGTAAACAATAACAAATGTAATGTGACAAATATTCAAAAAGATGTAAGTGATATTAAAACAACTCTAAATTTCCAAGAAACAAACTTAATGGAAAAGGTTGTACAAATTAAACAGTGTCATGACAAGGATTTAAATATTCTACACAAAAAAACAATCGATTCAGAAAATAGATCTCGTCGAAATAATCTACGAATAGATGGAGTTGAAGAAAAACCTAACGAAACTTGGAGCGACTGTGAAAATACAGTAAAAAATATCTTCAAAAAACAACTGAAAATTGATGGAGAAGTGATTGTTGAAAGAGCTCATCGTGTTGGCAAATCAAGGGATAGTAAACTACCAAGAACAATAGTTTTGAAGCTTTTAAATTACAAAGACAAAAACAAAATTTTAAACGCCGTGAAAAACTTGCGTGGAACAGGTGTATATATTAATGAAGATTTTGCAAAAGAAACGATTGAGATTCGTAAAAAGCTATGGGAAGAAGTAAAAAGATTACGCAGTGAAGGCAAGTATGCTATTATAAAATATGATAGAATTTTTTACAGGGAATTTAGAAGCCCAAACATTAAGTTTTAAAAAGAAATTTTTCTAAAAATAAATGCCCCTTAAAAAAAAAAAAAAGCATGGCTGGGACTAGTGATTTTGAATCCATAAAACTCAACTTTTCTGAAATAAATAATAATGAAAAAGTAAAACCCGATATAAATAATTTACACGACACGCTTATGGATTGCTCATATCACTATCCGAGCGAATTAGAAGGGTTTCTTTTTAAAAATGTTTGCGATAAAAGTTTTAGAATTCTCCACGTAAACATACGAAGCCTTAATAATAATTTTGAAAAACTTCACAGTTTGTTAGAGGAAACAAAAGACTGTTTTAATATAATTTGTTTGACTGAAACGTGGATTTCGAATGATTTAAATAATTCTTCAAACTTTTATATTCCTCATTTCAAATTAATTTCACTCCATAGGCAAGTAAATAAACGCGGCGGAGGAGTTCTTATATATATAAACGAAAACATTGTTTATTATGTTAGGAATGATTTAAGTGTATCTGATGGCGATAAAGAAATTTTAACTATTGAAATTATAAACAATAAATCAAAAAACATATTGTTAAGCTGTTGTTATCGACCACCTGACGGCGTGAGTGAGAACTTGAGCATTTTTTTTGAACAAAGTATTTTTAAAAAAGGTATTAAAGAAAAAAAAAAAAATTTTATTATTGGGGACCTAAATATGAATTGTTTTCTATACAATAAAGATAATAAAGTCAAAAACTTTTACGATTCTTTTTTCGAAACTGGAGCAATCCCGTTGATTAATCGTCCAACAAGAGTAACAAAAAACTCAGCGTCTTTGATTGATAATATAATTACAACAGATATATCCGATAATGATATCCAAACCGGTATCCTAAAATCGGATATATCTGACCATTTTCCATTATTTTTGTTGCTTAAATCAAACTCTGAAAAAATAACCAAATCAAATAAAATTAAAATACGCACTTTTAACGAAACCAATATAAAACAATTTAAAAGCCAATTATCACTCCTACACTGGAAGCATATTAACTTTAATGATAATGCAGACAAAATTTACAATAAATTTTTTGAAACATTTTATTCCGTGTATGACGCTAATTTCCCTATCATTGTAAAAACTCTAAATCCAAAAAATATAAACAACCCATGGGTGACCAGGGGATTTAAAAAATCATCAAAAATAAAACAGAAGCTTTATATAAAATATCTTAAAACAAAATCATCTGCAAATGAAAAAATATATAAAGAATACAAATACCTATTTGAAAAAGTTCGTAAAAACTTGAAAAAAAATTACTACTCAAGACTCATAGATAAATTTAAAAATAACTCAAAACGCACTTGGCAAATAATGAATGAAATTAGTGGTAGACAAAAAAAATGCTCAGGTTCCCTCCCCCAAACGATTGTAGTTGATAACAAACATATATGCGAATCAAGAGCTATAGCTCATGAATTTAATAAATTCTTTGTTGACATCGGTCCCAAACTAGCAAAAAAAATTCCTTATACAAATGCTACATTTAGAGATTTTTTAGTCCAAATGGATAACTGCACTAGTTCCAACGAATTATCTTCTGAACTATCTTTACAAGAGTTTGAAAAAGCTTTCAAAACTCTTAAAAAAAATAAATCAACCGGAGCAGATGGTATAAACGGTAATATAGTCATAGAATGTTTTGAATATCTAAAAGATATCCTATTTAAAGTATATGGAGCATCTATACGCCAAGGAGTTTTTCCAGAACAACTAAAAATTGCTAAAGTTACTCCAATTTTAAAAGAAGGTGATCAAACAATTATCAGTAATTATCGCCCTATCTCTGTCCTCTCCACATTTTCAAAAATACTAGAACGTATTATGTACAATAGATTATACAATTATCTTCATTCTAATAATTTTTTATACAACTATCAATTCGGCTTTAAAAAAAATAATTCCACAGAACATGCAGTTATCCAATTTGTTCGTGAAATCTCTAATTCTTTTGAAAATTGTAAATATACATTAGGTGTTTTCATCGATCTTTCGAAAGCATTCGATACTGTCGATCACGAAATTTTACTAAAAAAGCTAAAATATTATAGAATAAATTGCAAAGTTATAAAATGGTTCAAAAGTTATCTATCCAACCGTAAACAATTTGTTTTCAGCAATAATG